TGTATCCTCCCTAAATATCCTGTTTGATGCTAACCTTTCGGTATTGGTATAAACTGTAATAATAATAATATTAATAATAATAATAATAATAATAATAATAATATATTTGATAATTGCTCAATGTCTCATGGAATTTGCTTAGACCCACTTCAACTATGCAGAAGCTATAGTATAAAGCCAAAATCTTAGGTTTTCTGACAGAAATAGCATCAAATAAGTTTACCAGTTTCTTTAGCAGCTGCACCATGGATGAGGAGTTTTCCATTGTCATGCCATCTGTAGGCTCCAGAGTGGAATTTCGAGAACTAGAGTGCATAGAATTACGTGGTGTTGGGGCATCTGTTAGGAGATCAGAACAAGCTACTTCTATAAGATTCACTGAGTTGAAGCTGAGGCTCATACCATAGCCTAGTCCAGAGGAGTAGCGTCCGACTAGGTTTTCGGTCTTTAGCTCATCGTCGGAACTTGCTGTTTCTCGCTTAGCAGTTTCCTGAACCGCTTGTTTTTCAGAATAATGTTTATGCGCCACCTCTTTTGGTATCTGCGAAACAGACGAATAGTTGAGTTGGCAGTGATTACAAGTTTCAGTCATGCCAGTATGACGCACTCGAGGTTCAGAGTGCAATTGTGCAGCTCCTCGTTCGGAGACGCTAGTTTGCCAATTGAATTCTTCCTGGGCAGTCAAAAAATCAATTTCGCTTGTATCTCGACTTAGAATAGCGATCTGAGGAGAGTCCACTCCTGCAGAAGACATGCTAATCGAACGAGGGATGGCGGCAAAGTACTCACCTTCATCAGCCTGGATCAACATGTGAAAAAGTGGAAGTATATAAAGGCCGAATGAATGTGGTATCGAAAATTCAACAAAATAAAGTGGATAAAATCGTAATTAAAAATAAGCTAAGCACGAGATATGATTAAATGATAAGGTAATTATATACTATTAATCGAAGTTATGAAGACCAGGATGGTCTACGGGCAATAGGCGTTCCCCTTGATCGTCCTGCTAATATGACAAAGTTTCGAAACCAAGGTCAAACTACTTATATATACTATTAAGTTTAAATTTAGTCTATGAATACATTCAACCTTACCTATATTTGCCACCGAAACGAAAAGCTTAAATTCAACTTATTTTAAAATCGATTTAATTATGCTCTCTTATTAAGAAAATGGTTGCTATGTCTATGGCAAAATACTATGAATTCATATAAGATGTGTACATTTCAGAGTATAGCCATGGCATTAGGATACTATCTATTAAGCTCAAATAATAAAGTAGAAATACCGTCTAATAAAAGTAACTTTTAAATGTCTCTGAATTTTCAATCCCACCGCTTTTAGTAAACCAAACTAACATTGTTTGTCATAAAGATAAGTTGTAAATATGGTTCGAAGTGTCGATGCTAAGGTAGGGCTCTACATAAATGTTGGTAGGTAACATTTTTTAACACTTCTTCTAACGTAGATACATTCTATT